TGCTGTACAATGAACTAGGGTTTAGGGATTTGGTGCAAATACAGAAACACATTTTCAATCCTGTTACACAGAGCTGCTGACTGTCTCATTGCTCTGACTGGAGGGTAGGGTTATTTTCTTAATTAAAAAGTCCAATCTTTGCTGTCGGGCTGTAGGCCTCAGTCAGCTTTTTCTATTCTTCGTTTGCCAGCTTAGATATGTGTAGTCTCTTAGACGTCTTCATTTTGTGTGCTTCAAGGACATTTACTTAGAGCTTTTGTTAGTAGAAACTCCTTTTTCCTCTGTTTCTCAGACCAGTAGTGGGTAAAGGCCTGGAACACCTCAACACCAAGTCTCAGCACAAACCTTTGTGCAAACATTGTTAGAAAAATGGCTAAAATATGTTTTTGCCCTAATTTGGTACATTTATTATAGTGGTTCAGTATAAAAGAAAACTAAATATTTGGTTTTGGTTTGGTTTGGTTTTTGAGCTTATTTGGTGAATCGGAGACAGTCTCTGGAGCCATGTGAACCTTGAGATGGCAAAAAAAAAGTCCAGGGTGTATGAGAATTGTATTCCTTTTGACCTGTTAAAATTACTGTTCTAAAATACTGTCATTTTGTCCTGTTAAAAATAACATTATTTAATAATAGATTCTTGGTTTTGCAGGGTGGTATGGTGGTACACTGGTTAGCGTTGCTGCCTCACAGTACTGGGGCCTTGGGTTCAGTTCCTGGGTTGCTGTTGTATCTTTGTGGAGCTTGTATTGTATGTTCTCCCCATGTTCACGTGGGTTTAACTGGAAGCTCTGGTTTCTTCCTAGTTCAAAGACATGCTGGTAGGTTAATTGGCTTCTGGGAAAATTGGCCCCAGTTTGAGTCTTTCCATGTCTTTGAGTCTGTGTGTCCTGTAATGGACTGGCATCCCGTCCAGAATGAACATGTAACCCAAGTTTTACCAGTTGTTTACTGGATAGGTTTTGATTCCCCTGTAACCCAGTATTGGATAAAGCAGTCTGAAAATGAATGGATGATTAATTTGTCCCCCAAAAAATTAATAGGATAGAGTCATAATAATACAACAATTATTTTTTTCCAAACATATGGAACAGCCCTTAATGGGGAAGAACAGCCAGGAGTGCACTGCTTAATGTTTGTTCTCTCCTTTGGTGTTTTCACTACATGTATGACTCTACTATTCTAACTTTAATTAAACATATTTTCTTTTCTGGGCTTTCCTTAAAGGCATCCCGAGCAGATTTTTTCCCACCATCTGTCATTTTATTTGGATATTTTGCAGGATACTTTTATACCATGCGATATATAGTACACGTGGCATACTTTGTCTTGTAAAAGTATTCAAACTTGCAAAGCTTTCGTCTTTCATTGCTTTAACATTTGCAGTTATGACACTTTAAATTAGCAAAAAATATTTGTTATATACTGTACTGTACAGTATGTAAACCTAAGCAGAGGTATAGCATTAAAATCACATCTGAAACATGGGATGACCTAGGTTCTTATTGTGGCTGATGTTGTGGTCCACTTGAGTCTGTTGCACAAAAGATTAAACTTTTAATTTAGTAGTGTTTTCACCTGAAACATCAATCAATTTGAGACCTACAGTAGGCTTTTAAGGATGTTCAACAGTATTTCTGCCAGTAATGACATAATATATATACCGTGAGGTTCACTCAGCTACAGTAGATTGCTTTCAAATCACAATGAGATGAATTTCCAATGAATTTTGCTCAGGCGCTGTGATAGCCATGTGCAAAGTTCTTTTATGTGGAAACTAAAAGCATCTCACCAGAGGTGTCTAATCCTGGTCCTCAAGTGCAGTATAAATGTTTTGGTAATTTTCTTGACCTTTTTCAATCAGTAGCACATGAATAATTGGGAGAAATTCTTAAGTTGGTCCTCTTAAGATAGTACCTGGTTTAGCTTTGTCCAACCTTCCAGATCAATCCAGATCAGATGCTCCTATGCAGAGGTACAGTACTGTACATGCTTCAAATCACGGTTGCTGACTTGAGTCTTTAGTTATTCTATTCAATAACTCTCATTGGGTGTGATCTGTACTGCAGAAGGAACGTGTTTAAAAATATTATCCATTAGTCCCTCTCATCAAAAATATCGATATTAGTGTTATGAAACAACTGATAATAATGAAATTAATAAAAATAATAAATGTATCTCTTTATTTTTGGTTCAGTTAATTGATCAGGTTTTCCTAATGCACTACATGCAAAACAGTACTTGATTCTAACTTGGAAAATACTGAATTAAATTAGCATGCGGCAATCTCTCTAGCCCCTAGATTTTCTTGGAAATGCCATGCCTGAAAATTACTGGAAATTGGATCTAAAAGTAAAGGGATTGAAGCTCTGAGGCAGAATTTAAGCCTCTAGCAGCCCATGTTAAGGTCCTGTTTGAGAGGGGTGAATTGAGGTAGAGTCATACAGTACTGTAGGACAATACCGACACTCTCATGTCATGCTCATGTCATGACTCACCTGAGGTCAGTGTCAAAGCCTACGGAGAGCAAGACTCTTCCAGGAGCCGATGCAGTGGTAAATCTTCTGACTGGCTAGCAATCCCAGGTGACTCCTGCGGTCTGTGGGAGCAGAAGCAAAGATATGCATTTGCAGGTGCTGTAAAGCCTTCACTCTGGTCTAGTAGTTCCAACAGCAACAGCAGGACTCAGGATTAACCATGTCCCTAAGCTTTAAAACCCCTATTTAATAGCTATAGTTATCAACAAATCCTGCGCATGCTGAATGCTACAAACAAGACGTGTCAGAGGGAAGAGGCCCAGCTGATTTGTAAATAGTGCAGCACACTAGGGAGGGCATTCTTATTTAACATGAAAAGCTTTTGATGTGGTCCATACCAATTGCTGAGGATGGAGATATTAAAGCTTGCTAGTTTATTCTGAGTTACTTTGTAAATCTGGAGTAATTTTAACTTTTCTTTGTATATGAATGTGTACTGCTACTCATAAAAATTAGAATTAATTAAATTTACTAATATGTAATATGGGATATTATCAATTTTACCCTAACTCTAAATTAAGAAAATTAGTGCCAGGCTCTTTGATTGCAGATGGTAGTAACACATGGTTATAGGTGTATGTTGAGCAGTAGGTTATTTTATGATGGTTAATCTGGGAAATTGTGGATTGTTCTCCCAGTGCCCAGCTCTCTTCTAGAGAGAGATTATTGCCTTATGTAAAATGTTTTTGGTATTTATGAGTGCGATCTTTAAAAAACAGATACTAAGTGTTAGAAATACAGTATTACACTTTGTTTTATATATTTAACTACATTTGTGAGACTGTTTTCTGACCAAGATTATATTGAACTAAATCATTCATTATTTTTAATTTCAGTAGCAGCTATCACAGGAAAGTACTAATTACAGTACGTTTCTGTTAACGCAAAGTTCACTTTTTCTTTAATTTCAGTTTTGTGCATAAGTATATTCATTGCTACATTGTAAAAGGAGTTGAAATGAGTCATGATAATAATAAAAACAATTATCCAAAAGACTTGAAATGTGATTGCTGCCAAAGGTAGCATCAACCAACTCTCAACTCTGGAAATGAACACGTATGCAATCAACATATTTTTGGATTTTCTTTGCAGTTTGTGCAAATATTTAATGTTTTTCAGCCATAAAACCATACAGTTTGAGCTTTTAAGCGTGCTTTAATTATGCATTTCAAACAATGTGTTAACATTATTTGTGATTCAGCAAAGCAGGACACCACGGGAATAGAGTGAATATTTTTGCAAGGCAATACATATAAATCAACAACACTGTAGTCTGACCTAGTCAAGGCTCAGAAGCTCATCCAGGCTCATCATGGTCAGTACTAGGATCAGAGACTTACAGTACAAAGAAAAACCAAGTTGCTGCTCACAGTGATACTGGTGGACCAGTAGGTGGCACTGTGTCTCGTGTGCCTGACTTTCCAAACCAAAGCCCCATTATGGTTCCCAGGAACACTGTGCTAGCAGAGATGCTGTCCTTCAGACATGCAGTGTATAAACTAAGATTCTAACTTGTTCATTAAAGATCCTATTCAGATTTTAGAGGTGTTATCCTAGGAGTGTTCTGGATAACTTCCATTATGGGTTTGTAAAATTTGGCCTTCCTGAAGTTCTCCCTTATTTTATGTTGGTAAAGCCATTTATTAATGTATTAATAAAACTTTACAACATTCGTTATTTAGTGGGACTGCTATATGGCTTTTTCACATCACCCGGGTGGGTGCAGAACTTTAAAGGTAAATTGCTTTTGGATCCTTTCAATTGAAACACTACATAAATGAGAAGAATTAATAATTATCATATGATTTGTCCTGCCTAAAATATAATAATCCAGCTAATGTCCCAAATATATAATCATATTGTTTTGTTTTCCCTATTATTTTACATTTTCTTTTGTCTGGAGTCCTTGGATCATCTCAGCTATCCAAAAGAAAAGCAATAAATAGTATTGCTCAGCCTATGCAGAGTATTTTTTTAAACTGCAGTATTTCTAATAAGATTATTGACCATTGGATTTTCCAGGACTGGAGAAAATTACTTTTTTTTTCCATTTCCAAAACTTATTCTGTCCAATAAATAGTCTAATTTTCTAATAATAATTTTCTTAGACCTAACCTTCTGTGTCCCCCAAGACTAACTCTGAGTGAAGGGCAGTTCTGTTCCCGTGCTATTAGGCTCTTCCCAAAGAAACAAAAGAATGGTACTGCACCATTAAACTACTAAAACGACTTTAAAATTTTAAATTTTTATTTCAAAGCCTAAGGTTAAATTTGAAAAAATCTTGTGTTCTTTTGTCTTCTATCCTTATGAACCATTTATTCTTACTTTATCTTAAGGACATCTTTTAGTTTGGATTTTCTAAATCAAATGTATAAATTATTATTTAATACAGATTACGTTGAGGCCTCACGGATTCACAGATTCAGTCCAGTCCAGTAAGATTTGCTGTGGTCCTCTGTTTAACAGAAATATAAGGAAGTGGAGCCAGTCATCAGGATCGAAGAAGTGGACGGCCTGGACCTGGTGAGGAAATTTGCTGAAGAGATGGAAGAAATGCTGGGGAGGAAGATGAAAGCAGTAAAAGTAAGACTGAACAATAAACATGTTAAAAAGTGAAAACAATTCAACTGAATTCACATTGTTTGCACTTCATTTCAACGTCACTGAATTGATTATGCCATATACAGAATTTGGCACATACAGTAGCTGTTTTGTTTTTCTTTCAGGAGCTTGAACTTTTATAATGTTGAACGAGAGTGATTATTAAATTAGTTTGAGTGTTATACAGACAGTAGTTATCTGGACAAATGATGAAAGTGGAACATAATCACTGAGACAGCTATTTGTAAAACCTACAGTATAAGACATTATTCTTACATTAATCAACCCAACAGTGCCAACAAACTCTTCCTGGATTTAGGGGTCTCATCAACAATTTTTGTGTTAAAGACCAGGTTCAAATAGGAATGCTGGCCAATCAGTTGGTTAAATTAGGTAAAATTGATATGGTTTCAAGTAGCAGAGTCAATTGAGGTATTATCAACGAGAGACAGTACAGATTCCTGTCTACTGTCTCAAAATTAGGTTTCTATTATTAGTCCCTAGGACACATACAGTACACCATTGTTACATCCCAGTGTGTGGTCCATGTGTTTTTTGTTGTTTTGTTCCACATTTCTGACTTTGATTGCTCTCCCTCTCCCATTGGTCCATCATTACACCATTGTTTCCGTATTATGTCATCTTCAATTTACTCTCAACCAATCAGAGCTCATCGTATTCAGTATATAACATGGAGGTTTTCAGAAGGAAGAGGCCTTTCATTTGACTTCGGTCCTGCTTCAATTTGCTTCTTGGTTTTTGCTTTGGGTTTGTTCCACTGTGTGGGTGTTTTCGTAAAGCTTCGGCTTTGTTGTTTTGTTGGTTTGGGTTAGTCTCTTTGTACTTTTGTTTGTGTTTATTCTTGTTAAGCCATTACCTTACCCAAACTTGTTATATGTTCAGCCTCTGTGTTCTTTTGTACCCAGTTACTACTCTCGTTTGTATTCGTAGTTCACTTGTGTATTTGTGTGAACTCTTGTGTATTGGGTTAGTTTAGGTTGTTGGGTACACTTTACACATGTAGTTGATTTTTGTATTAGTCACACTAGTTTAGTACAGGTGAGTGTCATTTGTCTTGTGTGGTTTGGGGTAGTCAGTGAAGGTTAGCTAGGGTGTTTAAAGACACCGAAGACCGTGTGTTTCGGGTTTTCTTTTGTAGTTAGGACAGCTTTTCCTTACTTTCTTAGCCAGCTCCATTTTGTTTCTTTTCTTTTCTTTGGCAACATTCTAGTTGCCTTATCCTGTGTGTTATTGTGTCCTACTTTCATACCAGTCACTTATTCACCTTATGCACCAAGCCTTGTCATCATGCTTCCTAAGTTCCTCACCAGAACCCACCTGCATCCAAAAAATTATCCTAAAAGTTACACCCCTTTACCCCTAGACACTTGGGGTCATAACATTTATGGGGGCTTGTATTTTTTTTGGGTGTTTGTAGATTTGTGCATTTTGGGTCTGGATAGTGTTATTTGTTTTTTTCTTTGTGGAATAAGGACTGGTATAGGATTCTGAAATTTGGATTGTGTTTTTTCTTGGCAAGGTAATTATGGCTACTTTTGATTTCCGAAAGCTTGTGGAGGAACCTTCCTTTGAGCAGCTGGATAGGTGCAGGAAGGACGAATTGCTCCAAATTGCAGATCACTTCCAGGTTCAGGTATCAACACAAGCTCTTAAAAGGGACATTAAGAGAGCTGTGATTGATAAATTAGTGGAATTTGAAGTCTTTGCACTAGTGAGCAAGGACGCTGGGTCTCCTGGGACTGGTGCTAAACCTGCTATGGCTATGGAAGAACAGGACGAGGTGCAGGTGGTGGCTAAAGAGTTAGCGGAGGCTGACGTCAAGGCCACATTACCTCCCTTTGAACCGTTTTCTCCTGTCTCCACTGGGTCGAAAGACGAGACTCGCCTGAAAGTTTGTCTGGCCCGCTTGTAAATGGAGGTGCAGGAAGAAGCCCAGGTACGGCAGGCAAAATTTGAGTTGTGCCTTGCAATTCGTAAAATGGAAATCAAGGCGGAGAAAGAGGAATTACTGCTTGAATGAGAAACAAGAAAGAACGCTCCTGCTGCGTAGCTGACCCACTCCGAGGCCTCTAGCATGTCTCCTTTGGAAGATCCAAAACACAAAAGATTACAAAACACCGTAATCAAACAACATGCAATAACTATACAACACATTGTACTGTTTAACTAATGAAAATCTATTTGATTATATTACATTACTACAGTATCACATATTTAGACTGTTTTATCTTTTTTGTGATGTTATATATGTAGGACTGCTGGAGACTTTTTATGCTTCTCTAAATAAGTTTTAAGTTTTTCATTTGTGAAGTGATTCTTTAATCAAGCTTTGGTCTAAAAAACAACCACGATCCGGAACGTGGTTTGAGATCTCACTGTTATTTTGCCCATGACCTCCATAACATGTTGATCGCTTCAAACATGTCGTAAACATTTGTAACACTCAACATGGTTTCATGTTGAATACTGCATACAGTTTTGGTCACTATGTTGCTTCTCTGGAATCAGTTCAGAGAATACCAGATACATACATCCACCTAATAAATTCTTGTTCCTTTATGACTGCTATAATTCCACTTGATCATAATTTAATCAGAATGAAGCTAAATCTTGAGTAGATAGGACTTCCAGGAAAAACCAGGTTACTGCTCTAAGTGGGGCTGGCAGAGCAGTAAGTGGAACAGAACTTCCACACCAATAGCTCAGTATAGTGACCATGGATACTGTAGTGTAGGAGGTGGTATCCTTCAAATGAGATATTATTCCAGTCATGTGGTTGTTAAAGATCCCATAGTACATTTACATGGCCATGGCCAGCAGCCATATCATCCTGCAACTCACAACTGGCAACCCACTGAAACCAAGCAGTTGTGAGCTGCTGGAAGAGGTATTAATGGGGCCAGTAGGGGGCGCTCACCCTGCAGTCTGTGTGGGTCCTTATGCCCCAGTATAGTGACAGGGACTCTATGCTGTAAAAAGGTGCTGTCCTTCGTAAAACCGAGTTCCTGACACTGTGATCATTAAAATCCCAGGCGTATCTCGAAATGAGTAAGGGTGTTACCCCGTTGTCCTGGCTAAATTAACCAGTTACGGCTTCCTACTAATCCCCATCTCTGAACTGGCTTCATCACTCTGTTCTACAGTGTGTGGTGTGCGTCCTGGCGCACTATGGCTGCTGTCGCATCATCCAGGTGGATGCTGCACATTGGTGGTGGTGGAGGGGAGTCCCCATTACCTGTAAAGCACTTTGAGTGGAGTGTCCAGAAAAGTGTTATATAAGTGTAAGGAATTATTATTTTCAGAAAGGATGTTAATCCCAGTGTTCAGGGTAAAATTTTACTCTGGGCTCGTACTATTCAGCCTACCTAAAAGTTCCCCTTCATTCAATTGGTAAAGCAATTTCTCATTTCTCTTCGTGATCTGTGTAGAATCACTCCAGAATCATAACCCAAGTGAGTGCATTTCCTCAATGGTCCATTACATCATGCAAAGACTTTTGGATCGTTTGGAGGGGAAAACACTTATTTAACACTAAAATGTATTCTCATGTTGCTGTGTTGATTTCCAGTTAAATCCGCAATCTCTGAGGAGTACAGTGCAACTTTGGTTGGCTTAACATTTTTTTGTTATTTTTTTGTTTTGTTCTGGCTTTCCTGTGAAAAACTTAGATAGGAAAGCTATTATTATTGCTCTGTTCCTAGCTTTCTCCTTATTTAATCTTTTTTGTTTTTCTTTTACCTTATTTCCTTATTTTTTATTTAATTCGTATGTAGAGGCTGGTTGAAGCTGCAGAGGATGCTGACTTATACCACAAATCCAATGCATCAATAGTGGTGAGTGACTTTCTTGTCTGTCTGACTTTTTAGACACAACAAATATTTCTTGCATTATTTGTATAAATAAGAAGTACAGATAATTGCTAATGCGCACCTTAAGATGGACTGGTGTTCCTGTTGCTTGCTTCCTACTCCCATTAACTCTGAATTGGAAGAAGCGATTCAAAAATACGGGGATGGATAAAAAATGGAAACAGGTCCATTTGGTTTGTGTTCTGACCTGATTTTTCCTGTTAATTTGCTCAAGTCCAGTGTGAATGTTACTCTTTCTGCAGTTTGACTATTACAATGCAGTGAAAATAAATGAAAAAGATGAAGATGGGAACTACTTGGAGCTGGGAAGTGAGTTTGTCCTGGAAAACAACGAGCATTTCAATAACCTGCCTGTCAACACCTCTCTCAGTGACATTCAAGTCCCAACCAACGTCTATAACAAAGGTACTGGCTGCAAAGACGATACATTGACAGTATTCTTATGGTTACCCACCACCCCATCTACAGTACTTTCAGAAAACAAAAAGTTTCAATGCCTGTGCTTTGGAGTATGATTTTTCAAATTCTCAAATAAGAGAAAAGGTATGTGTCTGAATTCTGAAAGGGGATATCCCCTTCACGTATTGTGATGAGAACTAAGACAGTTCAACTTTGCCCTCCCTTTATGTCAGGACAATGTGCTGTTAAAGAAAAAAATTATCCACGAGTCTGTCTGTCTCAGCAGCTTCCTTTATCGGACTGCAAATTCCAGGCTTTCATTCATTAAATAATCTGATAGATTAATATTGCTCTCCCTTCAAAATATACATGTCTTCTTTCCTATCTCCCTTGCTTGCACAGAAATCTTGGCAATTGATAATAATAAACTAATATAAAAATAATCAATGGTTATGCCAGATTTCCTGGCTTTGAAATAATTAAAATTCCAGAATAATATCTATATATAGTATATACATTTCTCACATTCAGTCTTGAAGTTTACTTCCTAAAATATAGTAGCTATGGAATTTACTGTATTTTCATATGATGAAAAATTCAAGCTTTAGCCCACAATGTTGCCTTTAAACAGGCTTCAAGGCTTTCTTACATTGTCACAGGAGAAACAGGTTTAGAAGCCCTCAGAGGGAAATAACATGAGAATTCCTTACAAGAAAATTAATTGATTTATCTCATGGAAAGATACAAAATGTCACTTCCCACCTTTAGGGCAGATTCCAAGACTGAATAAGGCCTTGAGTTTGAAGTATGAAGTTAGCAAAACCTTGTGATATTTGTAAAAAATTAGAATGGGGATGATATATTTTATTCTCTTGAATGTGCTTTTTGAAATGTTGTTTGTATCAGGAATGCACGTTGGTAACGTGATTCAAGACTCGGACATTCTTCAAAAAGGAATCCTTGTTTATTTACTGTGTTTCTCTGTGTGACATGTCGGATCATCTGGAGATTGACTGTGTAATATAAGTGCACCTATATGGAATTCATCTGTTCTGTGTGGGTCTACCTACAGTACACTATGTGAAACTTTTAAGGCCACTGAATTTTGGCTTATGCTAAATCTGTTATCAGATGGTTTAAGATAAGCTATTATCTCGTTCTGTGGGAACACTTCCAGCAGGTAATCACTTAAAGGCCAACCGCCTAAGGTGAAACTTATTACTGGATTAGGTAAATCCAAGTAATTAGAGTGATCAGTTTGGATCAGATTTACTAGGAGCCTTGCTGAACAAATTACTGCTGCCTGATCACTCCAGCAACACATCTCAAGCGCTACAGGAACAACAAAGATTGGTTTTGATTCAATACACTTTTCTGACTTATTATTGAATTGCTCATCTTAGCTCAGCTTATTACAATGAAGTATCTATGCACTTGGGATATTAAAGCCATCAGAAGAAAATTTAAATTCAGAATCGTGAAGTGTTTGTCCAGCACTGTTCTCTGGAGCAATAACTTCAACATAAAGTTAGTGTTTTTAAAAATGTTTATGTTTTTCAATAACATTTAATAGTATTAAATTAGTTAGTAAGGAGGGAATTAAAAACAGCAGCCTGCCAAGTTTGTTTTAATGAACTCTGGTGCTGAAGCAAAGCTTTGCTTAAAAACCATGCAATTAAGATTTCTGTAAGATGAATAATCACTTAGCAAACACACTCTACTGCTGCCTAAAAGTTTCCTGTAGATTATTTGTGTAAGTCATACAAGAAAAACGTATAGTTTTCCCAGGAGGAAGTCCAGGGGAGGCAGTATACTTACTGAAATGAAAGAAAATGGGACTGATTTGAAATCATAGCAGGCCTCCTCATTTTGTTTGGTATAAACTGTTAAATACGATTTGTTTCAGGATGAATTATTGATTTAGCAGTTGTCTCACTGATCTTAAGGATAGCAAAAACGTATCTTCAAATCTAAATAGACAGAGTGCAATCTCAGACACTCTTCCACATATAAAAACTTTATAAACCATCACTAAGTGCAAGTCAGATGACAGAATGAGCACAGATATGGAACTAAAATATAGCCAATACAAGACAAGACAAGACTGTATGTTGATCACGGTAAAAAATACCAGAGACTGAACAGAAATAATAAAGCAACTTGTGAGTCTCTTTTGTAAGAGGTGATAAGGGGCCAGGATGTCATTTTGTTCACAGGATCCTAGAACACTCCCATTTTACTGATCTAATCCTCTAGTTCACAGGTCACAGATGGCTTCTAGCACGTTAGGCTTGAACCCACAAACTTTGTATCACAAAGCTCAGCCAACACTCAGGCAAGAGCTTTTACTGGCTGAGCTACTGCTCTCTTTTCTCTTCATTTCAAAAAAAGAAGTGCTAAGAAAGGGGCTCTGGAGCCACCTCCAGTAATTTCTTGATTGTATCCAGAAATGATGCAATCCAAAATCAATATAATTTGTTTTAATTAGTGCAGCCAGGGACATCCCCACACAAAGATTTAAAATGAAAATAACCTTACATTTGATATGTTATATGCTTTTTTGTGAATTAGAACGACTGATAGATGTTGACTGATTTTTCTTTGCCTTCTCCATAGATCCAGAAATTCTCAATGGTGTCTACATGTCAGAGGCTCTCAACCCCATCTTTGTGGACAACTTCCAGAGGGACCCTACTCTCACTTGGCAGTACTTTGGCAGCTCCACTGGGTTTTTTAGACTCTACCCAGGTACAGAACCAATAGGAAACTCACAGACCCACCTGCGAAGGAAAATAAACATAATTTATGTGGCCAACATCATTAGGAGTTCTTGAGCATTTAAAGTATATGAAAGAGAAATGAACAGTCTGAAAACTATTCATTGTAGTATTGGAGAAAATTGCAGTAGACATTTCTGAGATACTTTATTACACCAGATTGATTAATTTAGCATTTTATTTATTTACAACGATGTGATGGCAACCCACTTATACAGGGGGTGTTTACTGTATTGTTTACAGATTGTGTACAATCTGAGTAACATGTCTCGCACAATATAACCACAGAAAATGCAAAGTTACAGCACGGATTTCAACTCATTAGCTTTCACTTTATTAGCCATATACAATTTCTTGCATTAGGAATTTGTCTTTGCGTGTACCCCAGCTTTATTCTCCATGAGACACAGAGGCAGGGAGAGAGAAGCTTGGGGTCAGAGCACAGGGTCAGCCATTTATATGGGGCCCCTGGCACAGCTAGGGTTAAGAGCCTTGCTCAGGGGCCCAATGGAGTAGGATTCCTCTCCCAGCCACAGGATACAAACCAGCAACCTTCCAGCCACTGGCACAGACCCTTATCCACAGTGCCACCACCCCACCATTCTTGTTAGTGTGGGGGGTAAAAAGGAAGTCCAACATTCTTCTATCCTTAGTATTAAAGTACATCGTTAACAAAATAGATTAATGCATTGTGCTGTGCTAAGCCATGTTTATTGTTTTTAAAACTTTAGCAACTGCATATAAAAAGGAAACTGATCAAATACAAAAGATCCTAGCTAGCTGCTGATTACACACATGGACAGTTTCAGAGCTGAATGCAGTTGAAATGTCAAACTGAAAAATTACAAGTTGAATGAAGGGACAGTGGGGTCTTGAGGACCAGGGATGGGATACTCCACCACTATGTTTGTGACAAATTGGAAACTCAATACAGTACATGTTCCAAAGTGCATGACATCTACAGTAGCAAAAAAGTAATAAAGATCCAGCTGCAGATAGTCTGTTAATTAAATACTGACAGAAATTATTTAGATTTATTAGATTGGGGGGGGGGGGTTCATAGTAATTGGTAGGGTCTTTTGCTGTGAAGAAGGGTTGCACAGGGGAGGAGATGTGAAATAATCTGCACATCTCAAGAGTATTGTATCACATGTCCATCATGAGCCCAGTGCCTGTGGATTTTCCATCCGTGAGCTCTCACATAATTAATTAATCCCTTAATAAAACTGAATCAGTCCCTCAGTTTGCCTTCATTTATTTTTACAAAATGAGTTACAAAACTTAGGGGTGCTAATTTAGATGTACTAAAAAAGAACCTGATTAGCAATTGCCATGGACTTATCTCAATTAACTTTGAATAGTCAAGGACTCAGGTCTATTCTGCCTAGAATACTTCATGGGTAAATTGAAATTACATAATATTTAAGTGGTTTTAAACAATTAAAATCTACAACTAACAGACTCCTTAGTGGCTAGTAAAGGTGCTTTGTCAGTGAACAGGGTCAGCTCTACTTCCTACAAATCAGCATCAGGTGTCTGGGTCTGTCCTTACAAACCATGACCACAATATAAGAACATACTAATAATAAAATAACTAATAATAAAGAACATACTAATAAGAACATAATAGTAACAAACAAGAGGAGGTCATTTAGCCCATCTAGTCTGTTTTTATAGTTATTAGTTAATTCATCCAAATATCCCAGTAGTTGATTTATGCAAAGACCTGTTTCGTGAAACAAATCAGGGGTATTGGCTTCAAAAAACGGCTGGATAGCTTGTTTCATGTTTAAAAAAACCATTTGGGTAAATAAGTGTTTCCTGTCCTCAGAAGGCCCCAAGTGTACAGGGCAACTTTGTTCTGAAACTCTCAGAGCAGGACATGCAGAAAACTCTGAGCAGGGTGAGAATCCATAAGGCCGCAGGGCCTGATGGGATATCACTCCGCGTTCTCAGGAAATGTGCATCCCACCTCACCACAGTGTTTACAGCCATCTTTAACTCCTCCCTGTCACAGTCCATTGTCCCCACCTGCTTCAAAAAACCACCATTGTTCCAGTCCCCAAAAAGGCAAAAGTGACGTGCCTGAACAATTACTGCCCAGTAGCATTACCATCTGTAGTGATGAAATGCCTGAAGAAGCTGGTGTTGTCAGACATCAAACCCTCCATCACGGAGTCAGTGGACCCCTTGCAGTTTGTTTACCAGAACAACAGATCAGTGGATGATGCTGTCTCCCTAGCTCTCCATACAGCCTGGGAACACTTGGACACTAAGAATTCATATGTGAGAATGCTGAAAGAGATTGGTGGTGGCAACTGGTGACAAAGCTCAGGGGATTAGGACTGTGCAACTCTGTCTGCAACTGGCTGCTGGACTTCCTAATCGAGAGCCCACAGATGGTGCGGATAGGTAATAAAACATCAACATCACTCACCCTGAGCACGGACGCTCCACAAGGCTGCTGTCTGAGTCCAAGGTTGTACTCCCTATTCACTCCCGATTACACAGCAAGACACAGGAACAACCGCATCATTAAATTTGCGCATGACACCACTATAATAGACCTGATCAGCAATGATGACGAGTCCGCTTACAGGGAAGAAGTCCTACAGCTGCTGAGGTGGTGTCATAGCAATAACCTGGACTTGGACATGAGTAAAACAAAAGTACTAATAGTGGACTCTCGGAGACACAGGCCACACATTCAGAGCCCACTCAGTATTGATGGATCAGAAGTGGAAATAGTCACCAGCTTTAGGTTTTTGGGAATTCAAATTTCTAATGACCTAACCTGGACTGTGAACACGTACATTATCTTGAAGAAGGCTCAGCAGTGCCTCTATTTCCTCCAGCAATGGTTGAATTTCTACCGCTGCACCATTGAGAGCATCCTCACCAACGGGGTCACCGTGTGGTACGGCAACACCTCCTCTCTCAAGAGAAAGGCACTGCAGAGAATGGTTAATATGGCCCAGAAGATCATCGGCTGTGGTCTCACCGAGATTAAACAGCTTTATGAGGACCTCTGCCATGGTAGAAGGACATCTGGCCATCACAGAGGACAGTCTCTACCCCGGGCATGTGGTCTTCACCCCACTGCCCTCAGGCAAGAGATACAAGAGCATACGGACACTCACCACCAGATTCCTCAATAGCTTCTACCCACAAGCAGTATGATTGGCGAACACATTTGGCCATGCCCCTCGGTCCACACCTACACCATCTACCTCATTGTAATTTTATTTATTGCACATCTGCAGTCATAGTTTACATGTCTGCATTGTTTAAATTTGACTATTTACTTGTTTACTTGTACATTGTCTGCTGTTTGTTTGTATATTGTCTTGATGCACTGTCTGCACTTTTTTAACAATCGAGAGACTTTCTGTAAGTTAGAATTCCATTGTACCAGTATGTGTGCCAGTTACATATGGCAATAAAGTATTAAATGCACTTCCAGATAGCATCCACTCTGGTTTGTTCTTTGCTGTTCCTTCTGATGAAATCTGTTGGGTTGACTTTGTCAGTCTAAGACTTCATGCCTTGCATTTGCTTTTTTTTACAGGTATTAAATGGACACCAGATGAAAATGGAGTTATTGCTTTCGACTGTAGGAATCGGAATTGGTAAGGCTTGGTGATTCCTTAGCTTTACTTGGGGAAAATATTTTATTTGGTTTTAGTATAGTTGCTGTTTTGAGATAAAATTGACTGTTCTGATTTCATTTGATGCATAAACACAGTAGTAAGTAGTAAGCACCACCTCACAACATCAAGCCTTAATTTATGTCATGTTAGAAAAGTTTGGATCCCAGGTCAGGCTACCTCAGCTGGCCCAAGATAAAATTTCAGATTAGATTGTGTGTTGTACAAGTACAATCACCTAGGAGCTCATCGGGGAAAATAAGTTAATCTCTGTGGTTAGCAACACATCGTGAACTGGAGCATCAGAGCCAGTGCCTTTTACCAGCAGTAAAATAGACTAAAGGAGAGATGAATAAAAGCAAATTACATCAGCTTTGCAGGACTCAAAACCTTTTTTTAATTTTTTTGTCTGGTTAATCCTCTAATGCTGAATTGAATTAGTATCACTCAGATATTATGTGATGTTTTGTTTTGCCTCAACCAGTGGGTCTTGTGTGGATTAGGGTGCTGTTTTGAAACTAAATTAAGTACTGATGTCTGTCACATCTGCTTCTTGGTCCCGATTTGTGCCCATTGTTTACTAGGATATGCTCCAGCTCCCCCACATCCCTGGATGAAACAGTTATAAAATGGATGGGTGGATCGGCTTCGTGGACCATTAAAACTCATTAAATCTCATTCTCAATAGTTGTCTGGATCCTGCTGTTCTGTAGCCCAGGCTGATAATCTTTTAGTGTTTTAGGGCTTTAAGCATGTTACGAAATACTCTACGGTGTCCAAGAGATAAAATTTGAAAACAGATTTGGAGTCTTATCTTTTGTAGTACTGATTTTAGTATAAAGTGTTCAGTATCAGCACCATTTTCACGTAACCCTTTGCATAATGGCCAAACCTAGACAGAGTAATGGGACATGAAGCAGGAACAATTACTATATATCGTTAAAGATAAGGCATCCATTTTTTGAATAAACTCAGAACACAAACAATTATGTAAGAGATGCCACAATGCAGTATCTTGCCAGAGATAAACATTTCTTTCACTTGGCATTTCCATTTGCCAGAAATAGAATTCACACTACCTTCAAGTAGGTAGCTGTGTCAGCATGCATAGGCTGCAAATGAACAAATAAAGTTTTATTCCATACTGAAAAGAAGTGTGTCTAAAGAAGGCTCCACAGGCAAAATGTTCTTTGTTTGTTCATTTGCTGCCTTCCACTTCCCGTCTTTGTCTTTCTTCCTCCATATTTACTGCATATTCCCCTGCACTTCCCAAAGCAATCAGTGCTGTTGCTTGTGTCCTCATGTTCACCAGGTTTCCTAATACTGCTACCATCAGTGATCCATGTGCCATTCTCCTTCAAGCCAAGGAGGGCACTCGTCTTTTCCCTCCACCCTGATTCTGAAGAAGCAGCTCTTCCAACCTCTCCTTTTCCATGCACCTCAGAAATGACCAGCCCCCCACAGTCACCAAGATGCTCTTCTCTTTCTGTTCCTTCTGATGTTGTCATCCCTCCCCAGACCTCCAGAATAACAGCTCCCACCCTTTCTCCTCTCCCCCACCCCTATCTCCATTATCCCCACTTTTTCCATGCTCTCCCTTCCTCTGTTTCCTCTTTCTGCCATGTTTCATTGTCAGGTGATCCTACCCACCACAACTTTGGGGTTCATTTCTTCCCCTATCCCAATCCTCTTTTCCTGCTTTCCCTGTAGGAACATTCCTGGCCACTGATGCTCACTTTGCCATGGCTGTGTGGGAATAAGCACACAGGGTTAGATACAGTAGATCTCTGTTCACATGCCACCAAAGCTTTCACCGCTAGCCCTGGAAGAATCCCAGTTTCATTCAGCAATGAACACTATATAAAATGTATGTTTCGCCTGGCTTAGAATATCTTGTCTGAATCACTGAGTATTAGATAATTCCTACTCACGTTATTAGCAATAAAATCTGAATGTTTATAAACATCTGTAAGGGTTGGCTTCATTTCAGCATTGTGCAACATATTGTAGCCACATTGTTATTATACATATGGTTCATATGATGGTTTTGGTTCATCAAGAAAATATCCGGTGGTAAAGACTGTCTGGGGCACTGGAACCCCTCTTACTCCAAACCTTATTCCTCCTACTGTTTCTTTCCTCATGATCTCTCCTGTTCTTGGGACTCTGGAGAATTACAGTTTCAAATATTGTTGAGCATGATTGTCTGAATATTTTCGGTCAGGGATACTATCAAATTAAATTTTGCCAAACTCTTAAGTCATGGTCAATAGATCTCATCCCTCTCTAGCTAGGAGTTCAAATAATACTGGATGCCTGAGCAGTAATCAATGCAGACACCAAAGATGGGGATAAATAGCCTACATATCCAATATACATAATCTATAGCATTATTATTCTCATGTATGAGCACTTGCTCATTATTGTCACACTTTAAAAACAAATTGCATATTAAATGATGACATAATTGACTTTTTATAGCTGGCATGGCTTGATCTCAGTAACTATAGTGATTGCACTACCTATACTACTGGGAATTACCAGGCCCAAGATGTGTCCTTATTAGGAATCTCTTCTGGGTACCTCCTGTTTTTGTACACAAATCTCTATATAAAACACATATCTCAAGGCATATCATTATTCAATTGAGTATTTACTATAGCATGAAAAAAACACAGTATGTGATACACAGTATGCAAAATCAGATTTCCACAGCACTAAGGAATTTCATACCAACATAATCTGGTACTGGTACATCATAAAAGGTACTGCCATATCTCAGAAATGTTTAATAATGCTCAATCATTTTTGTTTCAATTAAATGTTGTTAAGCCTGGGCTGGGAGAGACTCATCCCGTGCCGATGTTGCTCTAGGCTGCCAGTGTACTTGCACAGGTTGTCAGCCTCCTTCTGAGCCCTTGCGAACTCATGTGGGGCACATCTCCCAAAGACCATCAATCTTTCAACCAGGCAGACCATCCCGAAAATAAGAAGACTGTTTATGGCTTTTCCTCCACTTATTCAGTGCTCCCACATTGAACTAAGCGCTCCCTCAGTGCTAAGCTTTGCAAAACTGAAACGATCATCCAACAAACGCGATTGCCCGAACACTGCTGAATCAGAAGAGCCATTCAGCCCTCACTTTCTTTTCGTCTCGTACATTTTCAACCAGTTTTCTTTTTCGCTGGCCCCTCCAAAGTGCAGCTCCTCAGCTTTCTCCGCAGCCATTCCGGACAGCCTTCCCATTATCCAGACAGCTTCATTCCACCCTGCCTCTCAAATCCTAAGAGGACTGTCCTGTGTTCAAGCCAGTCTCTCCGCTGCATAAAGGCAGCTTTTTTCCTGGTTAGTGTTTTTTCAGACAGCTGTATTCAAGCCAGCCTCTCTGCTGCATAAAGACAGCCCTTTTCATTATTCAATTTCATTATTAAATTATATTATATATCATAAATTGATAGATATTGAGAGAGAGAGGGCATAGTGGTTAGCAGACTTGGGGCCCTGAGTTCAATTTCTAGGTTTTTTCTGGGTGCTCCAGTTTCTCTCACATTCCAAAGATATACTGATAGGTTAACTGGTTTCTGGAAAAATTGGTTCCTGGTGTGAATGTGACTGAGTCTGTGTGTGCCCTTGATGGACTCGTGTCCCATCCAGAGTGTATTCTGCCCTGCTCCCAGTGCTTGCCAGTATCGGCTCTGGCTCCCCTGTGAGACTGTATTGGATTAAGCAAAGGATGGATGGATGATAGATATTAATATTGCTATTTTTGTGTATCCTATGATAGTACTTACTGTACATTTTAAGTATGGACGTTGAAATAAAATATTAATGGTTTGATTCAGTATTCTTAATCAAAGAAAAAATAAATCATAAAAGACATTGTAGGTGTCTGTTCCCTTAGATCATTTGCAGTGTCTTAAGTGTGGGTGTTAATTACCATTATTGTTGATTATGTCTAATAAAGCATGCTTTCAGTTTGTACTGTATGTGTGCATGAAGTGATTATGCTGGTGACAAAAGCTTTTGATAAAATGTTGAGGACCCAGTCACTGTGAAAGTGTTTTATTTTTAAGGGGATTGCGTTTATCTAAATAACTTTGCAGAGTGTAATCAATTTACCAAAATGTTTTCATATTTGCACAGTGTAAATCACAGCTTCTATCAACATCTCTAGCTCATCAAGCTCTGTAAAGATAAAATGCTAACATTTAACAGGCCACGGTGAGGCTCGAGGTCCAAATTTAAACTCGCAAAAAACACCCCAGTGCTAATTTTAGAAGGCAAGTCTGATACCTGATATCTGTGCAAAATACTGTATGTGTCATTATTATTTTATTTCAGTCCATTATTACAGTAAGATTCTCATACCAAGTCATCAACTGCATAGAAAGAACCACAGAATTAGCAGAATTTTAAAAAAATTCAAACATATTTTAATACATACTTATTATTCTTTTAAGTTATTGTTAACTGCTATTGTTAACCTTCATTTGTATTCTATTTATACAGCATATTGTCCACTGATATACTGTAGGACACCATACAAAATTATTGTTAAAGTGAAAACATCCCCGTTAATTTTACCAAAATGAACTTATACTGCCACTTAGTGAAGTGTTTTTGGTATCATTTATTAAAATGTATTCCAAACCCCTTGGAGCATAATGTTTTTCTTCAAGGTTAAAGTAACCATGGAGAGATGAGGCTTTAAACCATGTATACTGTGTTCTGTTTCTGCACACTTGCAGGTACATTCAGGCAGCCACATCCCCAAAGGACATAGTGATCGTCATTGACATCAGTGGCAGCATGAAAGGACTCAGGATGACCATTGCCAAGCACACCATCACTACAATCCTGGACACCCTGGGGGAGAACGACTTTGTCAACATCATCGCTGTGAGTGTACTTTTCTCATCTCCCTAAAGATGTGGACTGCAGTCCAGCTGCCCTCTGCAAATCAGAAGTCACATGTGTTTTTTGAGCACTCCAGGAATATTTTCTGTTCATCCATAATCTGAACTCTAACCAAAACCCTTCCACAAACATATTTGTATTTTAAACCCTAACGTCTGATGCAGTAGGATGCACAGAGAAAGAAGAAGTTCTTAAACACATATGCTCCTGAGGATATGTAGCAAACCTGGACTTCACATGTGGTGTTTAATATTCAATGAAATTAAAACAAAATTACATACATAAATTAAACACAATAGAGCATTTGGTGCTTTTCCCAGATCTCATTTCCACACTGAGGAAAATGAATACATGTTGAACTAGTAATGTAGTTCCTATTTTTATCTGGTTCAACCAATGAAATTATATTTAAAAATAGCTGAACTCAAATGGAAAATAAGCGCAGTTTAAATGTGTACTCTCATTCATATTTGTGCTCATATATCATTTTTAACATTTATTGATCTTTACAAAATTAAATAAATGGATAAAATAGTAAACGCTAGTTAAAACACAGCAGCCTCATTTCATGTTCTATGCATTTTGTAAAATATATATGAGCTCCTTCTCACTTTAGTTGTAGTATTGCCTGACAAGAAACATTCATATTCATTAAAAACAATTTTCTCTTGTTTATTTTCCCAGATACATCGATTAGTAGTTAATAATTTGCTAGACAAGGTTAAAAAAATTAGATGACATTTGAAGACTGAAGCATTTGTTACGTGATACTCAAATGCTGGGTATACTTTTTTAAATAAAAAATATATAACATTTTCCAAAAATATACTATCACTTTGAACACGATGAAGTTGATCGTTAAAAAGAGGGAAGCACTCAGACATTGCCTTGAGGAATCTGGGTAGAGATGCCACTGTGAGCCAAACGACAGCAGAGATCAAAGGCTGAGATGGGAGAAAATGTCCATACTGTAGGTCATCCATAAAGAGGAGTTGAATGGAACTGGCAAAAACTGGAAAGTGATAGAGCAAACATGGGGCAAAAGAGTTCGTGGTCAGACAAGAAAAAAAAATTCTGGTCTCAACAGGTGACAAAATGTTTCAACTGAAAAATATCTAACATAGTGCATCACTCAGTCAACACAATTCATACTGTCAAGCATGGTGGCAGCATTATTTTGTAGTTCTGCTCCTCATCAGCAGGGACTGGGAAACTTGTCAAGACTGATACAGCTAAGTACTCGCAAACCTTAGAGGAAAACCTGTTTCAGACTTTAAACAGGGATGAAAGATCAGCATTCAGCAGGACAGTGACCCAAAGAACAAGGCCAAAGCTGCACAGGAGCGGCTTAAGACTGAGAAAGTACAGTAAATGTCCTTGAGTGGCTCAGTCAAAGTACTCTCTTCATTCCTATTGAGAACTAGTGGAAAGACTTGAAAACTGCTGTCCATAAGCGATTCCCAAGCAACAGGAGACAGTTTGAACAAATCTGCAAAGAAGAATTTGCACCCATATCACCAAGCCAGTGTGCAAAGATGGTAGAGACATTTTTTAAAAATACTTGCAGCTGTAATTGCCGTCAAAGGTACTTCCACCAAATATTGAGTTCACAAGTCTGAATACTTAATCAACATATTCCAATTTTGCTGCTTAATTTTCGCTGACATTTTCTCGAACTTTTCTTACCTTTAAAAGTATTCAGTTGGGAATTCAGGTTTTGAAATTCAATATTGAATACAATATTCAAAAACACACTTTAAAAAAGTGTTTGTAATTTCACAAAATGGATCTCTGTAGCAAGAATCTGAATACTTTGGCAAAGGCATTGCACTTATTTCTTAAGCTTCTCTTAAGATAGAACTGTGTTATACTGTCAATAGTGTTGTAAAATGTTGTTTGTGCATCTTCTTAAGTCAGTGAGAATTTCATAAGTTGAATTATTCCTTTAAAATTTCATAGAAAAATATTTTAAAACATTTTTGTTTGCGTAATCTTTACTCAAATCATTTTCTAAATATAGAAGTCAAAATATTAAGAATTAGCAAATATGTTTTCTGAATTTTTTCATTAAAATAAAACATCTACTACCAGTTAAAGACCTAAAAGAACAGAATAAATATTTATCTTCATTGTATATATTTGTTTTCACAGTACAATGATTATGTCCATTATGTGGAACCCTGCTTCAAAGGAACTCTGGTGCAAGCAGATCTTGACAATCGTGAGGTAATTCAATTATCAAATTCATTTAAGCCCAAGGTGTTAAGTCTCACAGTTCAAACCGTCAGCAAGATGTCAGCCCAACCTGTGATTTGAAATATAACACTGGGTTTCACTTTGTGATGACTTCAGAATGGCTGGTTTTCCCCTCTTTCTCTCAATGTACAGCATCATCAATTTTGCTCCAATGCTGTTTAATTTTCTGACTGGGTTTTTGTGTCGGATGGCCAGACCTCACCATGTTGCATGCAGAGAGCAGCTGGGGTCACCCTTGCTGACAGCTTACAGTCTCACGTGATTGTTAGGGATTTGAGGCAGTGGCTGGAAACACAGTCAACAATATTATAAATTCACGCCAGCTGATTCAACTCCACAGCAAAATCAAGAGGCTCTTTGCTATAAGTAATGGTGCGGCATACTTATTTTGTTTGACCAAGAACCGGTTTGGGTGTTTAACCTTTCATAGCCTTGATTTCTGCTTCTTGCACTTCATAAACACTGATGCCATGTGCCCAGAACTGGTGTATGTTGTCTTGGGTGGGTTGCTTTTCTGGTACCAACATGGTCAATATTTACCTTCTGGCATTACATAAGACTGGGGTTAATTTAGATGACAGTGAGGCTCAGACTGGGTCCAGTCAGCATTTTGAAATGTACACGACAGTGTTTTTTTAATGGTGTTTCTCGGGAGTACTGTATATTGCCTATGAGTGCATTGACAGCTGCTGTTTGGACTGAAGGTCAATTGACACACAAAGACTGCTGAAAAGCCATGGTCAGTGGCTGATGGATTAGAGATCCTGTTAATAGCTTTCTACTGCCTGGCTGGCATCTGCATTTTGTGTGTCAGTTTCTCTGTCAGGCAGCATCTGGTGTGGTGTCTGGAAACTGCTTTTTGCATCTTTCAGCTTTGGATAAGCGACAATCTGCTGAATCTGCTGAAGATCTCCTTCACACCTCTTTACTTTTCAGTGTTTCCTTCTGCATCCTTTGTACTGTATTGTACCTGATGGACACTTGCAAGATCCCCCAAATTCTGAAAGCATCACAAAAGAAAAATGTTGAGCACTATTCCTTATTCAAGTCTTAGTTTAGATTCCAAAGGAAAAGAAGACTATTTTGCTGGCATTACAATGTGTTACTGAGCATTCTGAAGAAACTCTGGGATGGGTTCATCTCTATCCCAGTATATTTGAATAATACGCTCCAAAATCAGATCTCTGGCAACCTCTACTTATGCAGAGGAAGATATTTTTTTCACTTATTCCTGTGTTCATGAGCTGCTGCAATGTTATTATCAAATGAAATGTTTTCATAGTGAATTCACCGAGGTGATTATGAAAATATGGAATGCCTTTCGTGTTTTCTCACCTACTGCAGAGGCTAATGCCAGAATTAGTTCAAACTAGGGTTGGCTGTGAGACACAATGGGACTCAATGTCCACTACCGAGTTAGAATCAGATTCCAAATTGACACTGCCTGTGATAACAGTGATAATTAAAAACTATATGGCCATGGATGACATGTTTGGTTATAATAAACCAATCTCTGAGAGCCTTGAGGAATATTTCTTCGCTCAAGGTTTCAAAGTGTATGCATTGAGACACCAATTTGGAGGGGTCTGAACTGTCAAAACAGGAAGAGGGATTTCTGATCATCAGCAAAACAGAGCAAAAAAGCACAGCATGTTTGCCTGACTAACCAGGGATTAATCACTGCTGTCCATGGTGCTGATCCTTTCCACACCGTCTTTCAGCATTTCAAACAGCTGGTTGAGGGTCTCCATGCCAAAGGGATGGGCAAAGTGACGAAAGGAATGAAGGAGGCCTTCCGCATTCTGAGTGAGGTCAGTGCCTGTCACAATCAGTGAAGGAGAAACTCTATTTTACCACAAAACCTGACAACTCATAATGCACCCTGTTTTCTTGTTCAAGGTTCCTGGCACGTCTAAGCAATTACTCGTTTTATTTTGTTTTAATATTTACAATGTGTTTGTTTTTTACATTAGTTTCCACAAGTTTCATTTTATATATATAAACTTACTCTATGCCCCTGACTGTAAATTGTAAAGCTGTGCATGTTTTAAAACAGTGAAATTGTTCTAATTAAGAATTTAAAAAGTATGGTAATAAAAAGCTCTGCAGTAATACTTTCCCAAAATAATGTGTAGTCCATTTGCTGAAAATGCCTAAAACATTTGATGCAGAAATCCTTTCCTGTGGTGATCAGATGTTTTATACAGAGTGTGTCACAGGCTAAAAGTGGAAAGCATATACAGTTTTATTGCACATTGAAGGAATGTACTGTACTGTCCTTATTTTGTAAGTTTAAAGCATCATGGCTTTTCTTCCTTCAGTGTTTATTGTTATTGTAGTGCATGTTCATTGTTAACAGGAGAAGGGATTCTCAATCAACATAACATAACCTTCTTCATAAACAAAGGATTCCCAGAATCCTTTCACCAAGCTTTGTGAAGCTCTGTGTTGGGTAAAGTTAGATCATAATGACAACTGTTCATCATGTGTCTGTTTTGTCAGAGATTTTAATCCTTCAGCAAATTATACAGTGGAGCTAGCTATGTACACAACAAATTTAATTCAACAAAATAACTTATGCTGCTTTATGAAGCTGATGAATGGAGCTTTTATAATTAATTCTCTGTCTATAAAGTCATCTGACCTGAATTCCACAATTACTCAGCGGTTCACATGGCATCCCATTGTGATTAGAGCAGTAAATTTGGCTTTTATCAGATTTAATTTGGGCTTCTTGTCTTGGCAATAAGAACTGTATTCATTAGTCTCTGTACCACAGAAACTCAAGAGAGTCAAGGATTCCAAAGTCAGTCCTACAAGGGGAAAAATACACTTTTTCATAAAGAACAATGCAGATGCTCTTGTGGTTCAGTGGTAATTAATATACCACAGTAAATTATTTGCTGCTGAGAAAATTTCAGGTTTAGTTTGTTCTACCATAAGTTAGATGTACCTGTATTATCTGCAAATGTGTTTATTTTTTTGGTTATATTACAATGAACTATACAATTATACAAACAAACTATTCCAGGAAAAATAGGGTAATTTTTATGATTTGTATTTATGTATTTTTATAACATTCAAAATTAAAAAGCTAGAATTTGTGATAATTTAAATGAGGATATACTGTATTAGTTCTTTCAGTCTGAGCTGAAGTGTTACTGTATGTTTACTGTATGTTTCACAGTTCAACCAGACTGGTCAGGGCAGCTTGTGTAACCAGGCAATCATGCTTATTACTGATGGAGCAATGGAGGGCTATAAAGATGTGTTTGAAGAATACAACTGGCCGGATCGGAAGGTATGATGCCTTTTAAGTTGTCACGTAACAGTAAATAAACCGAATCCTTGCTCAGTATTGTGGATGAGTTCTCCAACAGATATTGTAAGGGCTTTCATGCCTGCAAAAATCTCTCACATTTAAGTACTATATAAAAACATTTCCACTGAAATTACTATATGACTTGTCTAAAACTGTGATCAACGGCTCCTGTATTGTGAATCACTCTGTCAATTCTTGTGTTTTTAAAAATCTTTATTTTTTTCCCACACACAGTGATGTGATAGTAATTTGATATCTGTTTGTGGTTTCTGTCATAACATATGGAAGCAAATGTATCCTTATGAAGGGCTTGTGACTAATTTAAGGCAGCAGTTTGGAGCAGCGCTGTGGGTCCCAAACCCAGAATTAGAAGGTTGTGGGTCCAAATTCCAGGAGATGCTGTTGTATCTTTGTGCAAGATATTGCGCTCACAATTGCTCCAGTTGTGATAACAGGTGACAATTTAAGTACCTTTGGATACAAACATCATACAAAAATATATTAGTAATAATTAGTATAGTAGTGCAAATTTATTTTCAACCAGTGAAGATAGTTACTTACAACACACATTAACTACATATATTATAGTCTAGACAGTACCTGGTGTTATGTGGAATTATGTCATCACCTTACTGTGAGTACTGTTCCTCAAGCTACAATGCAAAGTTTGCCAAGTTCTATCGAGGAGATTTTGAAAGGATCAATATACAGTATGCTCAGCTTGCTGCACAACAGCAATCCCTGTAGTGTCAGAGTGTGTAAGAATAGTTTGGGAATACAGGTGAAAAACCTGAGTAGCAATTACTAAACAAATAAATGAAAGAAATTCACTTTTACCAGTTAATTTAGCTACTGTATACGTCTCCAGTTGAAGAATGAGTTGCCTGTACACTATTATGGATGTACTTAATAAACGCTAAATAGAACATTCAGATAAAAAGAGCAGTTTGAAGTTGTCGGATCTCAGTATAGGAATGTTGAGGGATGTGTCTTGAGTTACATAATATACAGCACTTCCACAAGGCTTGGAAAGCACTTCCACAAGGCTTGGAAAGCAGTTACAGCAGTTACAGTTCTCTCCTGAACATTTGCTGTAGATTTTCTCCCTGATTTGCAAAGAATCTTGTACTGCACTGTCCTTTGGGTTGCTTAAGATGACATACTTATTGATACACTCAAAACACTTTCCAGTTATCATCTTTAGCCTGCACTTTATTATATAAACTATATATAGTCTATGCATACTCTTATCCAATTTTGATATATTATCTTGAGAACCATCCACAAAGTGTTTAACTTATGTAACCGCCACTGTACACACACAACCCTGGATTCACTGTTTCATCTCTGGGCAAACAAACTTTTGGCCTCTTCTCTGTGCATCTGCGGTGAAGATATTAATGAGCTTTGGGCTCTTTGTTTCCAACAGGTCCGTGTATTTACCTATCTCATTGGACGAGAAGTGACATTTGCAGACAACGTAAAGTGGATTGCCTGCAATAACAAAGGTGGGTTGCAGAGATGTACTGTAGTAGTTCAGGTGGGTAGCTGCGTCAGCATGCGTAGGCTGCAAAGGAACAAGTAATAGGTTTATTCCATGCTGAAAAAAAGAAGAAAGAGAACACAACGTTTCGGCCGTGGAGCCTTCTTCAGGTGTCACACTCCACGGCCGAAATGAGATGTACTGTAGCCTGGTAAGGTCTTTAGTGTGTATGTTATCTGATTTACAAAAAGCCTGAAATTAACTTGAAAAACAGAAAAAAGTTCAAGTTCAAGTTTATTTGTCATTCCAGCTACTGTATCTACAAGTATACAGATGAGCGAGATATCGTTCTCCAGGTCTACTTTGCAAATACAGACAAGGCACTGACAAGACAATGCTATAGACAATGGACAATGTAGACATAGACATTTCTGACAGGGTACAGGGTACAGGGTACAGGGTACATAAAGTGCAATGTGCATAGTGCAATTTACTTTACAGGATTCTGCAAAGAATTGTTCAAAGAATACATCAGACAGGATGCCTGACATTAAGCAAAAAATAACTAACTTTCCAGATTTAGTAGATGTGGAGTAGGTGCAGTAGGCACCAGAACCTGACACCCTGTGGAAAAAGCTGTTAGAGTCTGGTGGACCTGACCCATATACTGCAATACCTTTTACCAGATGGTAGAAGGGCAAAGATGTTGCAGGAGGGGTGGGAGGGATTGTCCACAATACAATGCTTTGTGTGTGCAGTTTTTGTGGTAGATGTCCTGAATGAACGGTAGGGAGGCTCTAATGATGTATCCTGCCGTATTGACAGAGATTTATGGTCTAAGACCTTACAATTCCCAAACCAAACACTGATGCAGTTTGTTAAGATGCTCTCGATGGTACCTCTATAGAATGTGGAGAGTATGTAGGGGAGGTCTACCCTTCTCAGTTGCTGTGGGAAGTGGAGTCTTGTTGTGCTTTTTTAGCTAGGGAGGTGGTGTTGATGATCCAAGTGAGGTCATCTGTGATATGCACACCACGAAACTTAGTAGTTCTAGCTGTCTCCACAGGGGAGCTGTTGATGTGCAATGGGGAGTGATCAGTGCAGCCCTGGGAGGTTCTGGTGTTCAGTATGGTGGTACTAGAGATGCTGTTTCCAATCCGGACTGTCTGAGGTCTCTCGGTCAGAAAGTCCAGAATCCAGTTGCAGAGGGAGGCGTTGAGATTCAGCAAGCTCAGTTTTTCTATCAGTTTCTGGGGGATGATTGTGTTGAATGCTGAACTGAAGTCAATGAACAGCATTCTTATATAAGTATCCCTCTTATCCAGATGGGACAGGGCAAGGAAGGTAAGGGGAGGGATACGGCATCATCGGTAGACCGGTTGGGGTGATACGCAAACTGAAGGGGGTCCAGAGAAGTGGGAAGTCGGGACTTAATGTGGCCCATGACTAGCCTTTTGAAGCACTTCAAGATATTTGTTGTGGGTGCCACAGGGAGATAGTCATTGAGACAGGACACAGTAGTCTTCTTCGGTACTGGTATAATCTTGAAACATACAGGGATGACCACCTGGCACAAGGAGATAAATGTCTGTAAAAACATCAGCTAACTGTGCTGCACATTCCTTGAGCACATGACAAGGTATATTGTCAGGTCCAGCAGCTTTACGTGGGTTAACTTTTGCTAGTGTCTTCCTCACATCAGCTGTGAACAGGCAAAGCACCTGATCATTGGAAGGAGGTATGGTCTTTCTCATAGGCACTGTATTTAGTGCTTCAAAACGCCCATAGAAGCCATAGAAGTGCATCCAGAAAGGAGGCATCACTGGCATGTGGAGTAGTCCTGTAGTCAGTAATGGATTGGATATCCTGCCAAATGTGTCGCGTGCCTCTGGTGTCCAAGAAGTGACCATGAATCTTCCGTGCATAGTTACACTTCGCCTCCCTGATGGCATGAGACAAGTTAGCTCTCGCAGTCCTAAGGGCTTCCTTGTCACCTGATCTAAATGCTGCGTTGCGAGTTCTTAGCAGTGCGCGGACCTCTGCGGTCAGCCATGGCTTCTGGTTGGCCCGTGTGATGATAGATTTAGAGACAGTGACATCATCTGTGTACTTGCTGATGTAGCTAGACACAGTTGCTGCATATTCCTCTAGATTGATATACAGTAGTTTTCATAGGTAGTGGCCTTCCTGAACATATTTCAGTCTGTGTGCTCAAAGCAATGCTGAGGTGCCTCCCTCTGCCTATATCCTGATCTGTTTCAAAACCAGTTGGGCACGTTTGAGCAGTGGTCTGTATGCTGGAATAAACATCACAGAAATGTGGTCAGAGCAGCCCAGGTGGGGGCGGGGGGCAGCCTTGTATGCATTGTGGATATTTGTATAAGCTACGTCCAGTATGTTCGCCCCTCTGGTTGCAAAGTTAACATACTGTATTGGTAGAATTTAGGGAGGACTGCTGTCAGATCTGCATGGTTGAAGTCTCCGGCAACAATAACATGAGCAGTTTGTAAAAGAGATGATTTATTCGGACAAGATAAATTTGGAACCAAAAATATTTTTTACTTACTTTTATAAAATTTCTCTCAGATTTACAGATGTATGAAAGATATTTTTAGAATACAATTAAATTCAATTTTTCCTTGGTTCTTAGAACAACATTTCCGTAAATGTGCTGGATTGTTTCGCGGTGGGTTTTCTGTGTATTTTAACAACACTGAAAGCAAACAGAAACTACTGTGATTACATCAAAACCAGCGATTACAGTTGTTCTAAGCAGCATGATGCTATTTTTAACAAGCTGCCATCTTAATATGCATTAGCACTACATATTTCAAATTTATGTTTCATTTAATAGCTATTTGAACTATGCATAATTGCAGATGCTTTGGGGAGCCAGCAAAGTAACATGATTTCACATTACAGTAATTTTCAGATGAATCACTTCACACTTGGAAGTGTTTAGATCCTGTTAAAGAGATTACAACTATCAGTCAGTTGCTCATCACTGTAATAAGCTATACTGTCCTTTATCTTCCTCCCAATAATTTTAAGAATTGCTGGAATATTTGTGTGAACAAGAAGGGTACATAAACCTGGTGGTTGGTTTAATAATCCAGGGATTTCACTACTTTTAGCAGTACTAACTGTGGATTGTAAATATGGTAGAGAGTTAGTGTTTGCTGCCTTCTGCTGGGTTACATGATTATTGCAGCAATAAATTCTGCAGTACCAGGCAAAATAATTTCCTCCAGGTAGAGATGGGCCTGGTATTTGTCATTGACTGAGTAAAAACGGTGAGTAAAAACCAAGTGATATAAAAATCTTTCTTTAATTGCCACAAGTTAGTGAGCACATACAGCTGTTCTAAAATGCCTTAGCCTATACAGTATGTACCCACTTATTGAACCCCTAGAACAAGTTAATTATTATGTGAAATTTGTTTTCACTGTCCCTTACTAAAACCACCCCTTTAACTTAAATAAGTAACTGGTGCTGCCGTTAATTTCTGTTAGATTTGTGTTTGTTACTTTGTAACAAGAGTATGTCACTCCTAAGTACTGTATAATGAAAGAGCATGCTTTCAAGATGAGGCCTATATTATTATTAATTTTCCTTCTAATTTAGGAACGTGTTCAAACACTATATTTGTTCTAAACTGGAGATGAATTCAAAACAATAGGCATGAGTAATAAATATGCATCACATACAAACCTAAAATACTTCAATTTAGTTTTGAGGAGGGGACAACAAAAAATATTGGTTAGGTCTCTCAACTCATAATGATACATAATGGATTCAAGTCCCTGCTACAGACACTGCTATTGTATTCTTGAGCAGCATAATTTATCCCCAGTTGCTCCAGTCTACCCAGGTGTAAGAATAGCTGTACAGTATATACTGTAGCTCTGCAAAGGACTAGCGTCCCATCCAGGGGACAAACATATGCTCCTGGTAAACTTAATGCTACAGTAAACAGCTTGAGGTTTGATACCATGTAACGCTATGCTGTGATATGGATTTTTGCACTTTATTTTGAAGTATCCTGCCTTTTGTCCTTGGTTGAAGTGGTTTGAAAATGGATTGATGGTTTGGGATTAGGTGCAGTATGAATACTAATCTGCCAGATTAGCAATCAGATAAATTATAATATAGAGTAATTACGCAGATAAATAGAAATAAAAGATTATGATTGGTGAGAGTTTTATGTAGCCTTTAAGATAATGTTGAGCTGGCTTCATAAGTCTGCATTCAGCCAAAGCATGATCATGTAACGATTCACAAGTGGGGAGTTACATCAGCATGTATTGGTTGCAAAGGAACAAGTAAAGCTCCGCGATGAAAAAAGCAGAAAGAAAAAAACAGCTGGTGAGCTGGTGAGACCTGTAAAATCATACTTGTAAAATATCATGGGAAATATAGTGGGAAGATTAGTTTATTTCTTAAAACTGCTGATATATGTACAGTATTTAGCTACTATGTAAAGTACCATCTACTTTCTTCTAAATTATTAAACCTCCTTCTCAGTACTTGATGGGTTCTTCTGCTCTGCCCATTTTTCAGGTTATTACACCCAGATCTCCACACTGGCTGATGTGCAGGAGAATGTCATGGAGTACCTCCATGTGCTGAGTCGGCCAATGGTCATCAACCATGATCATGATATCATCTGGACTGAGGCCTACATGGACAGTGCGGTAAGCCTTCCTCGGCAGGAGCTGTGCTGAGCAGATTCTTTTCACTCACTTTTTATTCGGTTCCTTCCCAATTGTTTCACACACATCACAGGATTAATTCATTTCTAAGTCTTCCAGCTTTTTATATGGGCCTATATGTTTGTTGACACTGTCCTGCGTTTCTAACGTTTTATGGAAAATTAATCAACAGATGTCTTTCCGAATACACTGATAGCGTAAGGAGACACTCTACAAAGCTGGATATTAAATTTCTGTCTCTGATATTCTGTATGTAAAACTCTTGCAGCCAATATCTGTGATTTCGTCCACATGGAGAACCCCAGTAATAACACTACTCATAATATTATATAGGAACATTACAGTTTACCTTTAATTGAAACAGTTATATTTTTTTGTTTTCGGCTCATACCAAAAGTTATTCAACTACAAAAGCCATGTTTCTGGTCCTTGCATGTACAATCACATCTGTTAAGTCTCAATATTCCCTGCCACTGTGTGCTGTTTGTCTAACTGGTGCCTAAAATGTCTTCATCTTTCATGTTCATCATGGTTGCATGTGTTTTTCTTTTGTCTTTCGCTCATGTCTGGTTCCTTCCTTTCTTTCCACGCCTGATTTGTCACTCTCACCCTGATAGCTTCCTCAATCAGATGAGGTAACTACCTGTAATCTTTAACTCTTGCTCAGTCAGAGTAGTCTCTTAGCTTGGGTTTAGCAATAGACATTAGTTGTTTTTTTGTTGATATGGATAGACATGTAACTTGTGAGCAAACGTGCAACAAACGAAGTTTGTATTAAAAAGGTGAGAGATCTCTAACCTGATCATACTTCATCATCCATCATGTTTAATCATCTTTGTATCTGCCAGACCTTAATTATCTTATCAGTCCCCTTATTTCTCCATGTGTCAAAGTGTCTGAGTGAAGTCTGCTGCAGAATTCTTCAGAGGCTTTTGCATTAGTGTCTTTTTTATGTGAACATGATTTTAGAGCGTGGCATAAGACTCCATTCATTTCTGTTCAGGGCCATTGAGATCCATCATAACTTTGCTTCTTTCACTGCCTCTGCAGCTGTTTGCCTCCCAGGCTCAGAGTCTGCTCCTCATGACCACAGTGGCCATGCCGGTGTTCAGCAAAAAGAATGAAACGGTCAGTAAAAACTTGTGCTGCCCCCTGCTGATATGGAGGTGAAATATTTTTTCATCACAGATGGGATATCCTGGGTAATGCTTATAGATGGCGTTATTTCTAATCAGACATCACTTTATTTGCTTATTTAGTGTGTACAATATTTTCTTCTTTTAACTAATCAGAAAGTAATTCACAACAGTATACCATGTAAAGGCTGAACGATTTTAGCTGGCATACCAAACAAACCTCGACATTTCCTCAGATGCTTTTTTACAATATTCTGTCATTAAGATTAAGACAAATTAAGACATTTGTATTATTTTATTTGACTGAGGTTTTTATTCAACGCTTAGCTGCTCTGAAACTGATCTTTACAGAAATGTCTTCTAATTCAACAAGGTATTTATTTATGACTTGATAGAATCAAAACTGTCAATAAAAACAATTATGAGTAATAATTAATATACAGTACAGCAACTATAATATACTGTAAGTGTGTGAGTTACCTTGCTTAAAGGTATAACAGAAGTGGGATTTGAACCCCAGATTTCAGTGGTTCAAAGTCATAACCACTGCTCCACACGGCTGATTACTCATAATTGTTTTTATTGACAGTTTTGATTCTATCAAGTAATAAATAAATACCTTGTTGAATTAGAAGACGTTTCTGTAAAGATCAGTTTCAGAGCACTCAGCTATTCACCATAAACTCTGCCTTATGATGAAATATCATTGTTGGCAGGTATAACTTAGACATATTTTTGAATTATTATTTATATATTACAATGTTTTATTAATATTTGGCACAAAACATTCCAAGCCTACCACTTACATATTTCTGAATTATTATTTATATATTATAATGTATTATTCATATTTGGCACAAAACATTCCAAGCCTACCACCTACAAAAATAAATCTTCTTTAAACCGATTTTGCTTCTACTGAGTTTATTGGTGGCAAATTTCATTTTGCAGTGCACTCAACTAATGATACCATAGCAACAAAGAGTTGTTTCATGATGCACAGAATAATATCCTCTGAAACTGAAAGGGAAAAGATGGATTTGGACATCAAAGTCAAAAGCTGACTTTTAGTTGCAAAAAGTATTTTTCTTGTCACGATAATTATTGTTACCTTATGTAATTTATCTGTAGCCTGAGAATCTACCATTTACTAAAACTGTCAACAATTTTGAGTATGTGCTTAATAGGCAGAAATATCGTTCCCAGACATGTAAAAGAGAAAGGGTGAACTTTGAAATGATTAAGGCAGTCCCAAGTAGCTAAACACTATCGCAGCCAAGGGACAGTTTGCCAAGGGAGAGATTGGTCCTGTAGCTAACCAGAGCAGATGTTCACCTGAACAGATGAGGTTCCAGGTTTAATTGCAGTTCACTTCCCAGAATGTACTGTAAAACTAAGCCTTCATATCATCCCTGTGACTTCTTCTTAATTGATACTTTATGTTGTTGTTCTAGCGTTCTCATGGGATCCTATTGGGAGTGGTGGGATCTGATGTTCCCCTCCGGGAGCTACTGAAACTAGCACCTCGATACAAGGTAATCCCCCTCACTCCCTAACTCATTGCCATTTTGTTTGTGAATTTATACAGGATACCAATCTCATCAATTTGACAAGTGTACATTTTTAACTTTTGTGTAAAATTAAAAAGAACTCAGTAACTGTTCCCACACTTGATTCCTTTTAGTATTTTACCAGGTCAAAAGAGTGGTGGGATACAGGAATACCAATTACCTGGAATATTTCAGTAATCAGGATAATGAGGTTCTTAGATGAATAAGAAAACTTATTAGGACGATGGGCAGAATGGCTGCCTCTCATTTTATTTTCAAATGATTTTGCATTTTGAAACGTGAAAGCTTTGTTCACTGTTTTAGTTGATTATTGGTGTTTTACTGTCATCTGATGCCGGTAATAATCTGCACTTCTAAAAATAATCTAAATATAATCCTACTTTTAGAAGGATGCTCCTCTTTTCACATATCAGCAAGCCTTGGAAAGGCAGGGAAACCAGTAATCAGAAGAGTAGTATTATCAAGGGGGGTGTTCTGAAGAATCAGAAGTGGACATTGGTGAAAATCTGTTGAAATGAAATGTTTAAATGGGAGGATGGCATTATACAGAGAAGTAATCAGATGGACTCATGAACTTAAAATACAATCATGCTAAAGCAATCATACATCCACCAGCAGGTGTTTCTAAACTTAATTCCAATAAGAAATGAACAGCTTTTGTTATATCTGCCAATAAAATGAGTATAATGGAATACTTGTGTGGTGTATACACTGCCCTATCAAAAATATTAGAGAACAGGAGAGATCCATCCTGACAAAAGCAGTGGGAATGCCTTGCATTTGATATGACCTGTGTTTCCTCGGGACTGTTCAGTGGTTGGTCCATTTGCTTGTGTTGCACTGTGATGCATTCAGAGCTACATCAGCTCTTGCTGGCTAAGTGGTCCTACTGCATGTCCCCACACATGTCTGAGAGCATTTAGTGATGCAAAGTTGCAATGTGTAATTATCTCTTAATAGAGGTATGTCGACTCTAAATGACTATTAAGAGTCATTCACTACATTTTAGAAGTTGGTTGGACCAGTATATGCAAAGAAACATCCAATCAACCATTTTCTAACAGCTTTATCAAATACAAGGTTTTGGGGGAATGGAGCCTATCCTGCAAGCAATTGGCACAAGGCAGGATACACCCTGGACAGGATGCCACTCCATCACAGGGCACGCACAAAGACACAAACACACACACAAGGGCCCATTTTCCAAGATGCCAGCTAGCCTGCCAGTGTGTCTTTGTACTGTGGGAGAAAACCAGTGCACCAGGAGGAAACCCACACAAACACGGGGACAGGGCCGGATTTTGGTGTTCGTAGGCCCTAGGCACTTTCCCTCCAAAATGTGCAAAAACAGGGGTAAATGCCAATTGAATTACGCAGATTGACATTAGGCACTTTATACTATTCTAATGCTAAACCATGTGACTGATGGAGCGAATCGAGCGACCATCACTTTGATACTTCTAGTTTTTAGAACAGCCACTAGATAGCGTATGATTATCGATTTGTAGGCCCTTAACATCTCATAGGCCCTAGGCACTGTGCCTACAGTGCCTAATGGAAAATCTGGCACTGCATGGGGAGAACATACACACTCTATGCAGGAATCGAACCAGGGCCTTAGTGCTATGAGGCAGCCATGCTAAGAACTTCTCTAAGGTGCCACCCCTATATGAACATTGAAAAGTAAAAAAAAAAACATCTCAGAATGCAATGTCTTGAAACATCAACTCTAAGCTGAAATTCTGGGACAATGGGAAAAGTAATGAACAGATTTGTGTTGTTACCAATATACTTTATAGTTTTCCTTGATTACACTATTCCAATATTATTCCAACCATTTTCCTGTTTTGTCAAAAATAATGGACTGATGTATTGCTTTCTGACTTCCAGCTCGGTGTTCATGGCTATGCATTTTTGAACACAAATAATGGGTATATCCTCTCCCATCCTGACCTGCGACCTCTGGTAAATATTTCAGCTTTTGTGTGCCACTTAATTTAGAAATGAATTTCTATTAATATAGAATTTGTTTCTATGGGAGTGATGTGTTTTGTAAAATGAAAAGGTTGTTTTTGAAAGAAAAAGAAATTCTGAAATTCTGGCCTATTTTTACCACTAATCATGTCTCATGAAGATCTGTGAGCATTTGGTCAAATTGATGGTTTGAAGTGTAGGAATCAGCACTTTTTAGCATTGTAAATTGTAGTAAAGACATCCATCTATTATATTGCAAGTGCGCCATTTATCCCTGTTATAGTCTCTGCATGTTGGATCTTATCCTTGAAACATAGAACACTTTGGTTAGAATTTAGAGCAAATAACTGCTCTCACCTTTGACAGGAAATCTGTCTATTTCCGGGCCCAGAGAAAGACAATTTAGAAGCAGTAGCATACATGTCTTGTGAAGGTAGAAGGAAACCCACATACAAACCACAGAGAAGTCCAAGACTGGATTTGAACCCAGAAGTCCAGAGCTGTGATTTGCAGTGCCATGTCGCTGCAGGAGATGTTGTGTGCACAGCTAATAATTTTGTATTTTAATTGATGTTTATTAAATTATGGCACCTCATGCTTGATTGTAAGATTAAAACTATGACAAAAGCTTTCATTTGAAATACATATTTGTCATTTAATACTATGCAAGCAGAGAAAGAAAAGGCATTTGCTATTATTGAAAAGCCTGTGTTAAAATCAGTCATTATAAATCATAAATATTAAATATATATGTATATATACAGCATTAAAAAATTATTTAAGACAAAATTATAAAAAAAAAACTCTTAGAGCTTCTAAGTGGAATATAACATCCTTTATCCTCTGTTAAAGTTTCAATTATTTTGTAGCTTCCTTTGATGGCTAAAGCTGTATGAAACTGTACTGCAAAGCCCTAACTTCCGTGATACATTTACTTACTCTTTGCAGAAAAACAGGAAAAGAGTTGAGCAATTAGTGAAAGGAATGGTTCAGCTTTCAACTAACAGCCTGTGTTTGCCCTCCATGCAGTACAAAGAGGGAAAAAGACTGAAGCCGAAGCCCAACTACAACAGTGTAGACCTCTCTGAAGTGGAATGGGAGGACAGTGATGAAATTGTGAGTGCCCTTCTCAGCATCGCTCAGATTGAATTAGCCAGAGCAGGTCAATGAAAAAAAAAAGTAAATTTCACTAGAATACCAAATTCCACTTGACACCAAAAGGCTCGTAACCTTGCTGAAACATCTGTTTGAAACCCTAACGTATTTTGGTAGCATTTACAGTTTCTGAATACGACAAGTGCCTTTCAATGATGTTTTCAAACTTACAGTGTGCACTGTGTTTGCTTTCAGCTGAGAACAGCAATGGTGAAAGGCGAGACCGGATATCTGTCTATGGATGTAAAGGTGACAGTGGAGAAAGGGGTAAGTCAGTCTTCCATATGGCTGCCAGCTGGTACTTCTGCTATTTGATGTTTTGAGTCTGCTCAGCATTTTTCTCTAATTGAAATGTGTTATCACGCACAGTTTCTCAAGATTGAACCCTGAATAGACACATGGATGAACAACAGCACCTCTGTGTCCTTTAACACTTCAGATAAACTATATTGAAGGTTTTCTACAGGAAGAGACGACAAAAGAGTGCAAAACCAATGATCTCTTTCTGCTATTAATGAGAATATTTACTGTATATTAAAAAGGCAGTGAAAAGTTGTACACAACACTGCTGTGCACCTCTACATTTTATCTTCTTTTGTTCTCCATTAGAAAAGGGTGTTGTTTTTGACCAACGACTACTTCTACACAAATATCAACGAGACTCCATTTAGGTAAGTGTCTTCAGTTAAACCACACCAATATTCAATTTAAATCCCCAAAACAAAATTTGTTTTCAAAATGCAGAATGTATGAGTTGATCGATTTGGGAATACTTTTATACTTAAAGGAGGGTCTAGATTTGCACTGAAATGCAATCTAAACATTTTGACTGAATTTGCTAAAAGCACTCTCATGCCCTACTTCTGTCCTCAGGTTCCAGAAAACAAGAGATTTTCTAGACACATCAATAGCTGTGTAGCAACAATTTCCATTAATAGTTGAGAAGTTGCATTGGCTCAGTGAAACTAATGATTTAATTAGTCGGGTCAATAAGAGCAGATGTGGAGGAAAAACCCACTGACATGGATGCCATCTAGGACTGGAGTTGAGTACCATTGATTGACTGGTTTACAGGTTATTTCTTCACATAGGTCATCCACTCATGAAATCTAAATGCAAAGATCCTAATTCTGTTCTTTTTGTCTCTACAGTCTTGGTATTGTTCTTTCACGGGGACACGGAGAGTACATATTTATTGGGAACATCTCAGTGGAGGAAGGTATATCTGGATTCTGACAACAGTAGACAAGACTTAATAATAGTAATAATAATTGCTTACACTTATATAGCACTTTTCTGGACATTTCATTCAAAGCACTTTACAGGTAATGGGGACTCCCCTCCACCACCACCAATGTGCAGCATCCACCTGGATGATGCGACGGCAGCCATAGTGTGCCACACATCAGCTATCAGTGGGGAGGAGAGCAGAGTAATGAAGCCAATTCATAAATGGGGATTATTAGGAGGCCATGATTGGTAAGGGCCAATGGGAAATTTGGCCAGGACGCCGGGGTTACACCAGTTTGCAGTTGGACCCCATGAATTTAGTGCTATGACAGCAGGATTTAGGAAAAACAATCAGAAGTCTTACAACTATTTGAATTCAAAATCAGTCCTATTAATCAAGGGGGAGCAATCTTGTAGGTTTTATAATTATCTGTAAAACAGCATAAAATGGGGCATGGAGCCACATGGCTTTTTTCAGTACTATCTCAGTAAATAATTGTGAAGAGAAATCTAAAGCTTGAATGGAATGGGATTCAGATTCCATCATATCTGTTGTTTGAGCAGATCATTACAATGCGGTTTTCGTCATTTTACAAACCTAAACTCTTGATTCAAAATCCCAACATCAAGTATATACACAAACGTCTTAGGCATTTTGCATTGCTCTGTTCTTTTCGTGCAATGTTTTTTCTTCTGCTTGCAGAGACATGATTATACAGTATAGTGTTTTCCTGAAATGTTCCTCATTTTGATTGAAGAATAGAGTGAATCACAACCAGATTTTGATCAATGGGTCAGTGAGGTTTGACAAGTAAATGTGATTAATTACAGTATATAAAATACAATAAATGTTGTATAAGATCGACTTCATATTAACTTCTCGGGTATAGTTTGGTGTTGTAATTCTGCTCAGTATGAACTAAGGCATGTTAAAGAACAAACATGGTTTCTTCTTTTATTTATTTTTATGTGCCAATACCAGTCAAAGCTGTTATAATTGTAGAAAACACTAGTGAATAACTGATCCTCACGAAATGCATAGTATATGGTAATTCCTGGGTCTAGAATGTATATGATTTGCACAACAATATCTATGTATGCTGTATATACTGTATATTGACAGTGATGCCATTTATGAAATCTGTGATTTTTGGATCATTAAATTTTTGTGAACAACTTCAACATTCTTCAGTTGTATATACATCATAATTATATATAAACAGTATACGTGGTTGATTTTAACTTAAAAAGATATCTGAGAGTTCAGCTATGGTACGTTCTACCAAGTGTAATTTTCAAGCAGCCCCAGTAGGACCCCAGTACGGGAGGAACATTGGTAGAGCAACGAGCCAAAGATCCCAAAGTAGTACCAGCTTTGAGCACAGAATTATGATGTTGTTAATGCCATACATTCTCTTTAAATAAAACCTCTTCAAAATAAAAATCTCTTCAAATAAAACCATTACGTACTGCCCTCTCCCGTCCCTCTAGGTCTTCATGACTTAATCCAGCCAGATCTGACAGTAGCCGATGAGTGGTAAGTATGCGTGGAATTCACTCTGTCAATTCCAGGCCTTGTTAGTTAGTATTCTATGATTTCCTTGTAGAACCTTTTAAAGTAAAAAAAAAACTTTTTAAAGGTAACATTTCTTTATCGAAGTTTAATGTCAAGGGCCTCATTCCTTCTGTTGGCATCAGTGAGTGTGAAAGAAATTCTCTAAGAATATTTTAAGTTTATGGACTGTTTATCACACTTCATCAACAGTTGATCTTGATCACAGTTGATCAAGAAGTTGAACCTACTGTAATTAAAATGTATCTAGTCTGATTAAAACCTTTCGTTTCATAATTTCTTGGAGCTATGTCAATCCACATGGTCACTCTATTAATTTGCAAATTAACTTTGTTACAGACCCAGAGCAGCATAGCACATTTTTCTCCTTATTTGTAAGAGCTAGACATGATACATGCTGATATATACTGTAGTTCAGGTGGGTAGCTGCGTCAGGCTCACACCTGAAGAAGGCTCCACGGCCGAAACGTTGTGTTCTCTTTCTTCTTTTTTTCAGCATGGAATAAACCTATTACTTGATATATACTGTATACATGTTGTTGCAGGATCTACTGTGTGACAGACATCGACCCACATCATCGCAAACTTACCCAGCTGCAGGCTGTAATTCGCTACCTGACCGGAAAGGATCCAGATCTGGAATGTACGTTTATAAAACACTGGTGCCTCCGACACAATAAGCAGAGGGATTTGGTAAAATATAGCATTAAGCATAGTCACACCTTGCTACAGATACCTGAGTCATGTTATAACCGAGTTATTGGAGTTTTGACATTTTGCAAAGTGAGGTGGATTTTATACAGTATATCACAAAATCAATAAACATTTAAGGTGTGTGTGTAGGAAGTCTTAAATCAGCATTACAAAACTAGACCTTTGTGTGACAGTAAAAGTTTAATGAATGT